ATATATATATTTGAATTGTGATACGCATGTGGCTTTATATGACAATAATAATGTCTTTAAAATTCTTGTGAATGTTTATATTCATTTAACATTTTCAATAAATATATTCTAAATTTTGATATAAAATATCTTCAAATTTTATTATTTTATTTAAATATAAATATAAATATAATTGGAGCTATTTAATTGATCAAATAATTTGAAATACAAGATTCAAACTATTAATTAGCATATATCATGATTTTAAACATAATACAGTTGGCGTCAATTTTTAATGTCATGTGTGTAGGGTGTCACATGACTGGCTCAGGACGATTCACTGCTCACTCATATCATCATTGAGCTGAAGACACCCATCCAGCCCTACCTAAAAGAACCTGCAGTTGGATGGACTCACCCAGGACATTGAACATGTTTGATGTCCATTCTGGTGTTTTGGGGTCCCTTTGTATCCATTTGGAGCCTCCCCAAGTCACAAACCCTCCATGTGTTATGGAAAAATTAGGGTTTATAACAAATTACCTGCGTAGTAGTTCAGAATGCTCGTTGGCGCATATTCCCCAATCAATGGACAAGCAATATACTTACTATTGAAGTCATGGGTTCATATTTAAGTCATATGCGGTCTCCCGTAGCTTTAGTAGGATCGAGAATGCGAAATTTAGGGTTTTTTGACCAGACCCGCGCCTAGGCGCCCAAACTGCCTCTAGAGTCTCCAAACCCAGACTTGGCGTTTAGGCGCTGATCCTAGATGTATAAGCGCCAAAAAACACTTTAAAATGGTCATTTCCCGAGCCCCGAGAAAGTAAGCGCCACACCCTGGTGCTAGGGTGTCAGATTGGGCGCCAGGGTCGCGACGCCGTGGCTCTAGTCCAATTACAGATCACGATAGGGGGGAGATAAAGGAGGTAATTACACCTCTTTTAGAGGCTTAAAGGGTGAGGTGGCAAGGCCATTTTTGGCAATTTAAGGGGGAAAGTGTGGGCTTTTGGCTTATCTCCCCTTAGCTCCTGGAAGGACTCCATTCTCAGCATGAATTGGGGAGCTGGGCATCTTCTTGCAAGGGAGAGCTCCATCTTCTTCCTCAAGGGAAGCATCCTTCATCTTCTTTTTCAAAGAGAAGGCCAAAAAGTGAGTTTCCTTCCAACTTCTCCTACATCTTCTTCTTTCTTCTTTCTCCGATAAACTTTCTGGCAAACTCTCCGACAGATTCGACTAGGAAAGATTCATCCTAACTTAGGTGAAGGACTACTCTGGCTACGTTTTGCGGCCTCCCCGAAGAGCAGAGTGTTATTCTACATTGGAGAAGCACAACTTTAGTAAATTTTTCTGTCGATCATTCCGACGAGGAGAGCTTCTTCATTACTTTGAGGAAGGACTTGGGTAGGCTTCACTCTTACTGTTAGGAAAGCTTCATCCGGGACACAAGCTTAGGATGGATCAACCACCGCGGCGATGAGATTTCCTAAAGCTCTTTGCATTTTCTTATTTAGCCAACCCTAATTTGTTTGTAGAGAATGCTAGGTTTATGTTATTGATTTCTTAGAAGAATCCCTAGGTTAGCATATTTGCAACTAAATCTTATATGAATCCAAGTGAACTCATGTTATAAACCCTAGATTTAAATCCTAGTGGGTTGAAATCTCAATTTCTCACGGCTTTGACGCTTACCTTCCTTGAAGGGGTTGAAATAGTTTGTCTTTAAAAAATGGGAAAAACTTTGTAGCTAGTCTATTCTACAAGGTCGTGGAGGGGTTGTATCCTACAGAAAAATTTTTGTAGCTAGTATGTCCTACAAATGGTGAAGAACTTATCCTACGAGAAATAAGATGATGAAGTTCTCCATGTTCCCTGCCAAAGCTGTAGGCGGCTATGCCGCATATCCAAAAGCAAAAACCATAGCCGCTTATGTGAGAGCGTTAATTAAGTTTGACTCGCTATTGATTGTGATCACTTGCGTTCTATCATTTTGTACGTCATGATGGGTATGTATTGCATCTTGCACATTACATTGTATGTTTGTATGCTCGTGGGTTTGGTCGCCCACACGAGGTAGGTATGATTGGCCACCCGACATCAGTCGGCTCAATTGATCGAATGATACTAGTCAGCCCGACCATACACCTCTTGATTGACTAGCTATGTGTATGCCTTATATATGGTGTCACACCCATGCTAGGCAAACTGGCCGATCAATACTATCAGCCCAACCATATGCCTATTAATTACAATTACGTGTGATTTATATGTTGCACTTCACATACTACACTTTGCCTCAATTGATCACCTTGGCCCAGTTGACATTAAATTTAGGTCTGACCGGTTGGCCAAGCTCGGACGACCGACCACTTTGGTCTGACCGGACGACCGACCCAGTCGACCAATCGTTTTGGTCTAGTAGGTCAGATGAATTAACAATATTGGGGTACATCAATGCATGATATTTAGAACATTGTGTTTCTCCCTAAATATGAGGCTTCGCCACTTAATAGAGTACTTGCTTCGCAATGTGTGTCATTACCTCACGGGGCACTTCGTTACCTCATAGGGTATTTTGTTACTCAGCAATGTGCATTGTTACTCTGCAATGTCCACCAACAACGACAAGAAGGGGGTGATCGGCTGGGATCGCTTGCTGTCGGCGAGCCCAGTTGGTGGTTGTGGAGGTCGGGAGTTATCCTCGAGTCTTCAGTCTAAAATAACACTAGAAATGAGTTTTTTTTTTTTTTTCCTTCCTTATATAAGGCATCAAATTATAGGCCCTGAAGGCAGGGCATTTTAGTCCTTGGACAAATAACAACTTCAACCATCAAATCGAACAACTCACATTGATCCTCGTTGATCATAGAAAATTTTCTTATGATATGATGGTATTAATGACATCAAAATCAAATAATGTTGGGCTCGTTGGATTCCTCTCATTAAGATGCTTGATTTGACTATAAGCACGCCAATTTTATAGTTCATTCGACTCTCCTACCTAGAGCCTCTAAAAGTGATTTAATAGCTTGATTCAGGCTTGATTTGACTCAAATTGGATCAATTTGATATCATGGGGTTTGTCTCATTAAATCGATCAATTTGACTATATGTTTAATGAAATTGAAACTCTGCATGATTTTAATTTAAGTTTGAATATTTTTTTATTTAAAAATATCTTGAGATTTGTATTAAACAGTCTCCACATTAACATTAGATGGTGATGCATCAATCTTAAATAAACTTAATGATTTTAATATGACTAATATGAGAGATATAAAGACATTGCCCAAGAGGAGAAATAGGCCTACCTGAGGTTTGAGCCGACCCAAGAAGACACTTCCGGTACTTATTTTAATAATTTAAAATGATTTTTTTTTTAATATAACCCATCTTCTACCCTTATTCGTTGAAATTTAATCAAGAAGGCTTCATTTAAAAAAAAAAAGAAAAAGAAAAATACAGAAGAAATTACAGCTGAAAGTAAAGAAGAAAAGAGTAGTCAGATAAATAGAGAAATACCTTGGCCCGGCTTTGGAGAGGCAGAGACTATAAGACTCCTGGGAAGTGCGGAGAAGTACACTACAGCCATGGCTGGCCCCATCGACCTCGCCACAACAAGAGCAAGAGGAAGAAGAAGGAAGACCGACTTAGCTGAACCTGAGACCATCTGATCTGTAATTAGGGTTTCTCTCTCTCTCTCTCTATCTCTCTCTGCAACTGATGAAACAGAGGAGAGAGAATCACCCTTTTTGTTTAGTCTCTCAACCGCCCTGCCTTGCTTTTCTAGTGGCTATGAGGATTGACGAGAGATTTTTATTTGGGGCATTTGTGTACATGACACCCAAAATCTTTCACATATGGATGTAAATCAGGCTCAGCTCCTGTTCGACTCATTTATATTTCGAGCTCAAAACGTGTGTTCATGTTCGGCTGGTTTGCTTAGCAAGCCGAACACGAGGTGTTCACGAACAAAAAGTTTTTTTAACAACTCTAATCGCATAGCCATAAGATGTTAAGGATTGGAAAAATATATATAAATTATTTTATAGTTCGGCTTGTTTGCTTAGCGAGTCGAACATGAGTTGTTCACGAACAAAGAGTCGTTTTGACAACCCTAATCACATAACCATAAGATGTTAAATGTTGGGGTAAGATTTAAAAATTATTGTTTATATTAAAACAACATTTGAATCAAATTTAGTAGTATTTCGAGCCAAAACAAGCCGAACATGAACAAACAAATCTTCATTCGTGTTGGGCTCGTTAACTTAGCGAACGAGCCAAACACGAGCTTCTTAACGAGCTGTTCGTGAATAACAAGCCGTTTTGACAGCGCTCACTTTAAAAAATTAAATACAAAATTTTCATGCACAGAACAAATGATTTATATATAAAATTGAACTTTAGGTGCTGAGCATATAAATTAGATAACAATTGAGGGGCATGATTGTAAATCTTCGAGGAAATACAAATACAACGGTTGACTCATGCAATTAATAAGAAATTTGGAAATCAGGTATGAACTACTTAAAATACACTTCATGTTCCTTTCAACGAAATATAAATATTTGCCATCTTTTTTTAATTAATTTTTAATTATTATTATTATTATTATTTAATATTTATGGTTCCGATCTGGCGCAATCGTACTAGTGCATCATGGTCTTGCTGGTAAAATTGGCCTCCAATTATTAAAACTAGTATTTTTGGCCGGTAGGACTTGACAAATTGCAACAGCTTGTGGTACAGCACCTCACAGCAACATTTGAAATTTTGACCTTATTGTCACAGATAAATAGTACCACATCGGCTAGGTGTAGGGCCGAAAAGCAGTATTTAAGTTCTTGGTTGCTCGCCTCTCTTAAGGGCTATTTTGGGATGTGACAAGTGGTATAAGAGCAGATCACTGCATGCCAGTGTGTGGACTCTTCATGGTCCAGTGGGACACTCGGTGGAGCCGATTCGTGACGAGGGCGTCACGTGATTGGGTGGAAAAGAATATCACGAACAAAAAGTCCACATCGGCTAGGTGTAGGGCCGAAAAACAGTATTTAAGTCTTGGGTTGTTCACCACCTGTAAGAGCTCTTTTGGGAGGTAACAAGTGATATCAGAGCAGATTTACTATCTGTCAGATGTGCGGACTCTCCATGATCCAGTGGGACCTTCGGTGAAGTCGATCCGTGACGAGAGTGTCACGTGATTGGGTGGAGAAGAATGTCACGGACAAATAGTCGCACAACAGTATTTAAGTCCTGGGCTGCCCGCTTGTCTTAAGGGCTCGTTTGGGAGGTGACATTATGCTCGGGACAGAATTAGGAAAGCCTCATCCCAAAATTTAAAACATTTCTTAATGGGTTATGGAATAAATAAATAATTATCACTAAACAAATCATTTCGTCTATCTCAATTAATCTTTCCGTCCAATATTAATGAAAAAAATAAAATATAATTTAAACATAAATATTTGACATAATAAGTAACCTCAAAAGAGGCTTATTGTGTCCCCTGCTCCTGAATTATAAGAAGTAATCTCAAAAATAAAATAAAATAATCGATGACAAAAAAAATCTGGTCAAAAATCAAAATGCATCTCAAAATCTTTGAATTTACCATGAAATAAATGTCACTTTATTTTTCATATATTTCACTCATTTCAATTCAATCAAGTGATTTTAAAATCCTTTTTAGGGTCTGTTTGGGGTGGGTGTAAATTCAAAAAAAAAAAATGATTGTAATGTTGCGATATAAAAAATAAATTTTTAAAAAGTTAAATTATAAATATAAATTTTTTTTAAAATAATAATCAGACAGCAAATTTCTTATAACCGTCATAACATGACATATGAGGTTGAAAAAAATATATTCTTACAACACTTCTTTTTATAAAACAGCTAGAAATCAATTCCCAAAACAAATATGTGGTGACAGTCTTGAATGAAGGCAAGCAGAAAGCCGTCTAAAATAGACCCTTGATCAAATTTTAGTCGGTTCATTTCCAACTCAAAATGAAAATATTGCACAAGAAGAATGGAATATAAGTAATAAGATTCAACAGCAATGCGGTATCCTTAATGGCCTATAGTTTCCAATATCAAGTAAAAAAGAAATAAACAACAAAAATATATATATATATATATATATATATCATG